TTTCATTAAATAAAACCCATTTTACAAATAAAATTACAAAAATACTGACGGCTAGAACGGATTAATTGCATTTGCATTAATTTATATGGAAAAAATTGCTTCGGTTAACGAACAATTCAGTTAACGAATGGACTTGTGGAACGGATTACGTTCGTTAACCAGGGTTCCACTGTATCAAGTTGGTTACTTTGGACAATAGGCTCACCTGGCTCCCGCATATTGTTTCAACCAGGAATAGCTGTATCAATAAGTTGAACGAACTGGCCCGAGTGGCGAAGTCCACATGGGGTCTTAACAGAGAGACCATTGAGATCATTTATAAGGGTGCGTTTATCCCAAGGCTAACTTATGCCGTGGGGGCTTGGTACAAGTCAGCTAGTAAGGAAGTAATCAAAAGAAAACTTCAAAGCACGCAAAGATGTGCACTCTTAAGGTTAACGCGGGCCTATCAGACAATATCGACAGAGGCCCTACAGGTAGTAGCTGGAGCACCACCAATAGATCTTATCGTTAAAGAAAAAGCAATGCTCTATATATGCAGGAGAAGAGAAACGATCCAAATAGCAAGAACAGAGTATTCTGAAACAGATATAGAACTTAAACCTACTGAATCAATGTTACCCATGCCGTATGAGCAGAAAGCCATCAGAGTCGCTGAAGATGGCGAGAGAGGATCAGTGGAACTATTTACAGATGGTTCGAAAGTCGACGGTGGTGTTGGGGCCGCCTTCACTGTAATACAGAACAACATTGAAATGCACACTGAGCAATATAGACTAAATGACCTTTGTTCGGTCTACCAGGCTGAACTTCAGGCAATTAAGAGGGCAATGGAATGGGTAATAAGGACCCAAACTGAAGGGACTATTATCGTTAACACGGATAGTAGATCCACTTTGAACACTATTATGCAATTTACAGATACTAATATAATAGCCTTACAAATAAAACAATAAGAAACAGTGAAGCTAATATAAAAGTAAGATGGATTACGGCCCACAGTGGCATTAGTAGTAACGAGCACACAGACTTCTTAGCTAAAGAAGCTGCGAACATGGTAGATGTGACTTATAATAAAATCCCAATATCAAGAATTAAAAAACTAATCAGGAATGATACTATTGTTGACTGGCAAGATAGATGGACGAATTCCGTTAAAGGAAGGCACACGTTTTGGCTAATGCCAAGCGTTGAAGAGCATGTGACAGAACTGAGATGGATCCTGATAGACTATACTATGAGTCAATTGTACACCGGACATGGCAACTGTTATACATATCTAAAGAAAATAAGTAAATGAACAACCGAAACCTGTGATTGTGGAAAAGAAAAAAAAGATATAGACCATTTACTAACTGAATGCTATAGATATGAAAGAGATAGAACGGAAATCTTGAGTCTTCATGAACTAAATACTGGAAATCAAACTCTGGAGCTTTATAATCTTATCAGAGATAAGAATCTAAAACAAGATCTTCGGACCTTCACTAGAAGGATACTAGTGTAAAGGTGACAGAGAAAGCCATCTCTGTCACCTATAGGCCAGAAGGTTTCCAGTCCCCTTGTCAAGCTAGACAAGCAGTTTGTAATTACCTTACAAGTTTATTTTATTTCTTTAATGTTTGTTTAAATTATATTGCATAGTGTAAAGTCATGTTTGAATAAAAGTTTATCAATCCTTGTGATGTGGAAACGGGCCAACAGCGGATGTGAGCTGGGAGAAGAGAATCATATAAAGTTTGTGTGTGGACAAATTGATAAACTTATCAAATTGATTACAGAACACAAGTCAGACCCACTGCAAGTCGCTGTGGATAAGTTAAGCAACAGAATAGAAAAAATCTTCGAAGCTAAAAGGAAAACCGAGCCGACCTTTGCTCAAGTTGCAGCAAGAAGAAGCCCAAAACCAAGTAAAGAAGTTCTACTCATTGATCCCGAAACAGATAACACAGATCCTGAAAAAACTAAAGAGATATTGAAAAAATGCATTGATCCAAGACAAATGAGTATTGGAATACAAGCTGTCAGGAAGTTAAGACGTGGAGGCGTAGCAATAGAAGTGGGAACAGTTGAAGACAAAGAAAAGTTGAAAGAGTCCATCGAAGCAAATACAAGATTCAAGACAAGGGAGCCCCGTAAAAGAAGACCTAGATTGGTAATCTACGGGGTAGGAACTGACTTACCAAAAGATGAACTACAGGAATACCTGTATGATCAAAATGAAACAGTAAATTCAGCCATGACTGCGGAGGAATTCTGCAGACAATCTGAGGTCAGATTTCAATTTTGAAACAAGAATAGGAATACGACAAATTGGATATTAGAGATTAGCCCAAAAATTAGAAATTTAATATTGCCTAATAGAAAAGTGAATCTAGGATGGTCCCGGTGTGGTGTCGAAGACTACTTAGCAGTAACACAGTGTTTTCAATGCTGCCGTGTCAAACATTGCCAAGAATTGTAAAGAGAAATGTATAACCTGTAGACAGTGTGGCCAGAATCATTAAATTTATGATTCTGATTTAAGATTGCAAACAAAGAGACAAGGTGGATTGCGCCAACTGCAGGCGAGAAAAACTAAAAGCAACGAACCACAACGCGTGCTCAAAGAAATGTCAAATTATACAAAAGGTCAGAAAAATGCTGATAGCGAAAACAGATTATGGACAGTAATTATAACAACAGAGTTAAAGGAAATCTATTGAAAATAGTGCAAGTTAATGTTCAACGCTCGATTAATGGCACTTCTGCTCTCTGCAAGACCTTACAGAATGCAGACATTGCTCTAGTCCAAGAGCCTTACTGCTTGTAGGGTGCACTTGCTTGTCTTAGAACAACTTATAAAATTTTATATAATAAGGAATACAGCCCTTCAACGGTGGCAATACTTAACAATCCCCGTTTGCCGGTGGTATTTCATAACGAGGTGAGCGATAAGTATATCACCTGCCTTGAGGTGGGCAATGGTGATAGGAACTATCTTCTGGTCAGTGCCTACTGCCCTATTACTAATGATTTGGGTCTAATCCTTTCAGGACTGGAGAACCTGTTGTCAACTTATCATGAAAAAAATATCATAATTGGTGAAGATTTTTATGCTCATTCTGCCCTTTGGGGCAATCCAAACAACGATGGAAGGGCAGAGCAGATATTAAAATTTATCAATGCTAATGATCTTTACATAGTGAATAAGCCATACTCCATGCCAACTTTTGATGCCCCAATTGGGCAAAGCTGGATCAACCTAACTATTTGTAATAGTACTGCTTTGAGGTTGGTCAGCACGTGGGAGGTATCCCCACACTGCAGTTTAAGTGACCATAATTATATCTACATCAACATCGGCTGTAGTGCAATAGAGGAGTATTCACAGTGTCCAATCTTTGCCACTCGCAGGGCCAACTGGCCTCTACTCCAGTCCCGTTTTGGAGACTTCACGGTGCAAAACACCCTATATAATATTAATGATAAGCTGGGGGTTGAGCAGACCATTGCCCAGCTGCAAAGTAAAATCGTCACAATATGCGAGGAAGCAATTCCAAGGAAAGTTTCGGTCTTAAGCCGATGCCCTGGTGGTCCAATGAACTAACACAGATAAGAAGAAATTGCAACCGCCTGAGAAGGCGTTATCAAAGATCAAAAAATGAACAAAGAAGACAAGAAAGAAGAAGAGAATATCTGGAAATAAGTAAAAAATACAAAAGCCTCATAAAAATCAATAAGCTTCAATCCTAGAGGATATTCTGTAATGAAAACAATTTGAAGCCTTGGGGCTTTCTATACAAGGCATGCGCGGGGAAGCTTAAACTCCCCACTTTTCTTACGGCAGTGCAAGAAGGTGACAAATACACTGCAGGAGTTGAAGAAACTATAGAGAGTCTTATGAAAACTTTCTTCCCCACTGATAACGAGAGCCAAGACACCCAGTTACAAAGTAAGATAAGGCAGGAAGGTGAGACTAACTACTTAAACATGCTAGATCCTGAATTCACCAAAGATGATGTTGAATACGCAATACAGAGACTTAAACCAGGAAAGGCCCCTGGACCTGACGGGATCGTTGCAGAAATAGTGCACAAGTTATGGGAAACAAATCCAGATTACCTCATGAAAATTTACAACCTCTGCCTCCGTTTTGAAGTCTTTCCAAGTCCTTGGAAAGAGGCTAAGTTAGTCATAATCCCTAAGGGAGAAGACATGGATAAAAGCTCAGTTAAAAGTTACAGGCCTATCAGCCTCCTTCCCCTTTTGGGGAAAATACTGGATCACCTGATAAGTCAAAGGATAATGGCACATCTGTTGTCTAAAAACTTTCTCAGTGCTAAGCAATATGGGTTCCTCCCAGACAGAAGTACTGAAGACGCCATCTGTATGGTGTTGCAGAGTATTAATGAAAAACTGGCCACATACAAGTATTGTTGTGGGATAAGTTTGGACATCAAAGGGGCCTTCGATCACACTTGGTGGCCCCTTGTCCTCTCGTTGTGTGAGGCTCATATCCCAAAAGACTTATATTATATAGTGAAAGATTACTTAAAAGATCGTGAAGTAGTGTATAATACCAATGGTGCATATATAGTCAAAGGGCTGAACAGAGGATGCCCTCAGGGTTCCAATTCGGGACCATTATTTTGGAATCTGGTCTTCGACCAGTTCCTCCGGACAGATAAAGGCCCTGGAGTAGTTGAACTGGCGTATGCCGACGACACTCATTATATATGGAGCAAACTCTAGGAAGGAATTAGAGTATAGGAGAGCGAACATTGGATGTGATCCTGAGACGGGGCCGTGAACTGAAACTTACTTTCAATCCTAAAAAGACCAGGGCAATCGTTTTCTCATGCGGACGAACCCCAAGTTTATACAGAAGGAAACCTATCATTCAGATTGGCGGTGAGAGCATTCAGGTTGAAAAACAACTAAGGTACTTGGGAGTAACCTTGAACAATAGGCTGACGTGGCTCTCCCACGTAATTAACGTGAAGAATAACTGCATTAATATGTTCAATGCTTTGGCAAGGGTGGCAAAGGCTACCTGGGGTCTCAGTTGTGAGGCCATTGAGATTATTTACAAGGGAGCATTCCTTTCAAGACTGACATATGGGCCAGCGGCCTGGCATAAGGCAGCAGAAGGCTGTGCAATCAGAAGGAAATTGAGCACAGCACAGAGGTGCGCATTACTAAGATTAACTAAGGCATATAGAACTACATCAACTGAGGCTTTACAGATCATCGCTGGAACTCTACCACTAGATTTAATTCTAAATGAAAGGGCCACTCTCTACCACTGTAGAAGAGGAAAAAACATAGTAGTTGGTAATAAAGAATATTCAAAGAATGAATATAAACAAAGACCTAAATTGGATGAACTGCCTAAACCCTACAACCGCAAGGTAATACAACTAGTGGAACAGAATGAAGAATGGCCATTGAAGATCTACACTGACGGATCAAAGGTAAATATGAAGATGGAAGCCGCTTTTCTGGCTATAAGAGACAATAAGATCGTAGAAGAAAAGAAATTCCAACTGGGAGACGCCTGCTCAGTTTTCCAAGCAGAGTTAATAGCCATTGAGAGGGCAGTTCAATGGTTAGCTGAACTTAACATTACTGCACCCACTATAGTATACTCTGATATTAGAGCGGCACTGTGCACGTTAGAACAGTTCAATGATACTAACTACACGACAGTGAACATTAAAAGACTAACAGAGCAGTTTAATCTAAAGACCCAATTTGCCTGGGTAAAGGCCCATGCGGGCAATCCTGGTAATGAGAGGGTGGACCGCCTTGTGAAAGAGACCACCCTCCTCACGGAAATGACTTACAAAAAAATTCCAATTACAAGTATAAAAAATGAAATTAGAAAAGTGACATATCATGAATGGCAAGATCTATGGACTAAATCCACGAAAGGTAGAAACACCTTTTGGCTCCTGCCATGTGAGGAGGAGAGGATGACTGAGCTTAGATGGCACCCATTCGACCACATCCTTAGTCAACTTTACACCGGACATTGAAATTGCAGGGCATATTTAAAGAAGATTGGTAGGGAACAAAAGGCAGAGTGCGACTGTGGTGAAGAAGTCCAGGATCTGGAGCACTTGTTTTACACGTGCAGGAAATTTGAAAGTGCAAGACTCCAACTTTACCAAACACATCAACATCATCATAGCACAAATGCTGACATGTATACAATGATCAGAAACAAAAGATATATACAATGACCTTAGGATCTTTACGAAAAAGATTCTTACGTAGGGGTAGGGGAAAGGATCCCCACCTATTATGTACCGACGAGCTGTCGGTTCCTTTGCTTTTACAGAAACTTGTAAATACTTTATGTTCATTTTATTTATTTTCTATTAATGTTATTTTGATTGTTTGTTCTCTAACTGATTGTAAGATAATAAAGTTTAATTTATTCCTTGTAGTACTCAAGTGGGACAAAGATGAAGCTGATCCCCGAAAGGGGAGATGGATGATGTCCATCCAATGAAAAAAAAAATGTCCCTATCTACTGGGACCTAAGTACTTGTTGTGAGTTATCGTTATCAAATATTCTTGCTATCTTGATTGTTAGTGTAGTCCTACACTCTTCTTTTTTAAGCTCACTGTGCCATCTCTATAACAGCTGACCTACACGTGGTGGCCCTGTTGCCCCGTTTCTGGGGTGCTAACAGCTGTTCAAAAGGCAGTTTTCACTGCTATTCTTTTGTTCTTACTTCTTGTTCTGTCCTGTTTTCTGTTTTCTAATTTCAGATGTGTGAGGCCGACGAGTTGTCAAGCCCAAACATCGCCCCCCTGAAGAAGGAAGGGTGGAGCTGCTGAAGATCAAGGAAGATCTAGGAAAATATATGAAAGAAAATCAGAATTCTAAGTTTGGAACGATTGTACACTCTACAGCAATACTTGACTTCTTTGATCGGGCAATTGAAATCTTTAATCAAACCTTTAAGCCTAAGGAGACTCAAATTGAGAAACTCACAAAGAAAGTGAAAGAACTTATCAACAACAGAAGTCAACAGAATGCTTCGACGTATGCTGAAAAGGCTGGTGCAAAGGTTAGCACTGCCCCATGCCCTGAACCAAGCACAGTTATAATCATCAATAGTGAAGACAAAGGTGAAGATGCAGACACAATTAAGAGAAGAATTAAGGAAAAGCTAAACCCAAGACAAATGAACATTGGCATTAAAAGACTAAGAAGTATTCAGAATAGAAGTTTACTAATTGAAGTACAAGATAAAAATAAGGGTGAGCAATTAATGCGTGAAATTAATGAAATATCAAACCTTCAAGCACGGGAACCAAAGAAGATTATGCCAAAAATTACCATTTTTAACGTCCCAACAAGTTTGAATAAAGAACAAATCCTTGAAGGACTTTTCCAGCAAAACGAAATGATAGGCGATGGATTTCAAGATATTGAAAATTTTAAACAAAATATTAATATAAAATCAAAATTTGGCAGAAACCCAGAGGCACAACATTGGATATGTGAGGTTACACCTACTCTGAGGAGAATCCTACTGAAATTAAAGAGAGTCAACCTAGAATGGGTGAGATGTGCTGTTGAGGAGCATTTCATGGTTATTCAATGTTTTAGATGTTGTAGATATGGACATTTCGCGAGAGATTGCAAGAGTGAAAGGAGCTTTTGTAACCACTGTAGTGGAGACCATAAGTTCACAGAGTGTAAAAATAGACAAACAGCACCTAAGTGTATAAACTGCATTAGGAACGAACAGTCAGTATTTGGACATCGTGCAAACCATAATGGGTGTTCTAAAAGACAAAAGATCATTAAGGCCATACAATCTAGAATAGAGTACGAATAATAGTGGCCAAGTGGCAAATGTAGGAAATGATGCTATTACAAAGAGCAACGATATCAATATCATTCAGATTAATCTTGGTAGAGGAATTGCTGTGGTTTCACAGCTGGTTGAGAGGATGTGCAATAGCACAGATATTTTGATGATTCAGGAGCCCTATCAACGAAATGGTACAACCTTGGGCTGGCCTATTGCTTGTAATAAGTATTATAACACTAAGAATACAGTTACTTGGGCCTTCATTCTGGTTACAAACCCCAAGTTAAAATGCTTGCTATTAACAAGGTTTTGTAATAGCTTTCAAACAATAGTTGAACTTATTTTGCCAAAGGGCAACTGGATCTTGGGTAGTGTTTACTTACCCAGGGATAATAACATCCACGCCTCCCTTAACAACTTGTATGAGGTCATCGATACATACTCCACCACACATAGTATCCTGATCACAGGGGACTTTAATGCACATTTTTGCTTGTGGTTCAATTTGGACTCTGATGATAGAGGAGAAAGTCTAGAGGAATTTATTCATGTAAAAGATCTATATATTTTAAATGAGATCGGCCATCTCCCAACTTTTGAGACAGAGAATGGCTCTTCAAATGTAGACCTAACTATCTGTAACTACCAGGCCCTTTCATTTGTACAACAGTGGAGTGTGAGCCCTGAGGCTTCGTTATCGGATCACCAATATATAATATATTGAATTGTATACAACGAGACAAGCAGGATCTCTAACAGGCTAAATATCTGGTTGGCAAATTGGAATGGAATAATTGATGAAATTGAAAATGCAAACTTGAGCTTCGACATAGAAGGTAATTCAAACCAGGTAGAAATTGCTCTGGAAAGATTTATAAAACTAATTCTTCTATTCAAAAATTTATTCCAAGATGTGAAAAGAAGGAACAGGTGGTCAGATGGTGGAACTCTGAGCTTACAACACACAAAAGTAAACTAAATGCGAAGAGACATAGGTTTCAGAGATGTTTGGGAGAACAAAGGGAAGAATGGAGACGGGAATTTTTGGTACAACAACGGAAGTATAAAGACCATATAAAAAGAGCAAAGCAAGCGAGTTGGAGGGAGTTCTGTAGCAGGTGTTCAAGTGATCCCTGGGAAATCTTATATAAAATTGGCTCAAATGAACTTAAATCTGGATCTATTCTAACAGATTTCAAAAATGAAAGAGGAGAGCATGTAAAGACGATGACAGAGTGTCTTAAACTTCTCATGAGGGCCTTCTTTAAGAAAGACAATCCTGCCCATGATACTATGGAACAGGCAAACATGCGGAGAAAACTAAGGTATTCCACAAACACCAGGAATGTCCCAATCTTTACACAAAGCGAAGTTAATTGGGCAATAAAAAGTTTTAAAAAAGGTAAAGCGCCAGGATACGATGAAGTCACGATAGAAATGATTACTCAACTGCACTCAGCCCTTCCGCATTTGCTGCTAAGTATTTTCAATTGTTGTCTCATTAATGGGGTCTTTCCCAGCCCCTGGAAACGGGCTAAAGTCATTCTGATTCACACAGGACAAAACAAGCCAATAAATGAGACTAGTAGTTTCAGACCTATTTGCCTCCTCCCAGTGATGGGGAAGATTTTGGATAAACTCATTACTAAAAGATTGCTAGTGTGGTTCGAGTACTTTTGCCTGCTAAACAGACGTCAGTTCAGCTTCCGAGAGGGAGTTGGGGCCAATACAGCAATTTGTGAGGTAGTGAAAGAAATTGAAAGAGCAAGAACTATCCACAGCTGGGTGTCGGCGGTCAGCCTGGATATTCAAGGCGCTTTTGATAGTGCCTGGTGGCCGCTGATAATTTTTAGGTTGGAAGAGGCTGGGTGTCCAAATAATCTTTATAAACTTATATGTGACTATTTTACAAACAGGAACGCCACCCTTTCATATGGAGAGATCGATGTAACATGTGATGTAGTAATAGGGTGCCCGCAAGGATCCTGCTCAGGCCCTTTCTACTGGTGTTTAATCTTAAATGACTTACTTAATCAAAAGTTTCTGGATAATATCACAATCACTGCCTATGCAGATGATCTTATGGTTATTGTGGCTGCAGGTTCAAGATCAGAACTAGAGAAAAAGGTTAACAGCTTATTGCTGAAGATACAAGCTTGGGGAATTGAAAATAGACTTATATTTAATCCAGCTAAAACAACTGCAATAGTTTTTACTAAATATAATATCAGTAAGTGACTCCCAACGTTCAAAATGGGAGACCAAAGTATAAAAATTGAAAGGGACTTCAGATATCTTGGAGTTATCATAGATGATGGGTTGTCATAGCTCCTGCACATTCATAGTCTCAAGCAGAAAACAGTTAAGTTACTTGCGTGGTTTGCAAGAGGGGCTAGACGTGATTGGGGCCTCTCTGGAGATGCACTCCTAACCATTTATTCAGGAGCGATCAGCCCAATTATCACATATGCAGTAGCAGCATGGGGCTATAAAGTTTGGTCCACGCAAGTCAGTAAGAAGATAATCTGAATTTCAAGGTTAGCCCTATTAAGAATTACAAATGCTTTTCGTACAGTTTCTAATGAGGCGCTCCAGGTTATCGCTGGAGTCATGCCTATGGACCTGGAAATTAAAATGAGACATGATATGTTTTATTACAAGAGCTCCGGAACTATGCCGACCTACCTTCAGCTGTTGGATGCATTGGTGGATCGGCCACTTCCTCAAGCACAGAGGATTAAATTAAGAAATGTTCCATCTATTCAAGTAGTGGATTATGACCAGACAAGTAGACATAGGATCTACGCTGACGGATCCAGTTCTATCGATGGAACAGGGTCCGCATTCGTTTACTTTGTTAAAAATAGATAAACTTACATTCAAAAAAGAAATTACACAAACTATGTAATAACTTTCAGGTGGAAATGTGTGCTATCCTATATGCTATTAACTGGATTAACAAGAGATGTACCCACTTGAAGGTGGTTATTTGTACCGACAGCTTATCTGCTATAGCAGCATTAAAAGATGAAAATAGTAAAAACAGACTTACTAATTAAATTTGGCAAGGCCTTATTCAGGCAAATGCAAAGCATGTTGATAACATGATTATGTTTTCATGGGTTAAGGCTCACATTGGTGTGCCGGGTAATGAGTGGGCGAATGCTTTAGCTAAGGATGCATCTGTGAGTGACATTAAGACT